TCCTCATCTCCCCTCCCTCCTCCGCAGGAGCCGCCGCCTCCTCCTGCTCCTGCTCGCTCTTCTGCCTTCGGGTGTTGCTAGAAGCACCCCTGGCTCATGGACCCCCCAGGATTCGCTGGATGGCCCAGACGGCCTCCGGGGCACCCCTCACGAGGCCCAGAGGGCCCCCAGGGGCTCCAAGATGGAGCGAAACGTTGGATGAGGAGGAGGAGGAGGAGGAGGAAGAGGAGGAGGCGGAGGAGGAGGAGTTGGAGGCGGAGGAGGAGGAGGAGGAGGAGGGGAGGAGGATGAGGAGGAGGAAGAGGAGGAAAGGAGCGAGGAGGAGGAGCGAGGAGGAGGAGCGAGGAGGAGGAGGAGGAGGAGGTCCCTGCTCCTCCTGCAGGTCAAGGCGCCGAGGGGGAGGGCCGCTCAAGGCTCGGGAGGGGGCCGGTGGCGTTTCAGATCGGGCCGCTCCACAGAGGTCCAGGTTGGAGGGCCAGGGCTGGCCGTGGCCAGAAAATCGCCCCTCGTGTCCTTGTTCTCGGGGGTGGATGGACCTCCTACCAAATCCACGGCGCCCAAAATCCACGACGAGCGCGTGCCCCATGCTTTTCACACGCCTCGCGCGCGTGCCCCACCGTGCACAGGTAGCATGCCGGAGGCCACGGCCTCGCTCGCCTGGCCTCGGGCAGGCCCGGGCTGCTGTCTGCACTGGTGGTCGTTCGCATTGTTCGCTTGTGTGCCCGAGCGGGGGATCGGGAGCTGCAGGGCCGCCCCGTCCCGTCCCAAGAGAGACCAGTCGGAGGTTGGTAGACCTCCTACCCTGACGCGTCGATTGAGGAATTGGCCGTTTTCGGTTCGCGAGAGGGCGTCGCGACCGTCATTTTTGCGGGTCCAGGTCCGTCGGCTTCGGTCCCAGGCCGTTTTTTAGGGGAGGTTTGCTAAAGGGAGGTGTGTCCACCGCCGATACAGTCGGGGCGCTGAAGAAGGAGCCCTTTTCGTTGGGGAGGGGCTCCGTGTTCCCTGATTGTTTCACAGCTTGCCTTAGGTTGTCCTTAGGTTTTCGATGGGGAATCGAAATTTAACTAATGGAAAAAAGGGGCCTCGTTCCTTATTTAGGGTTCCTTAGGTCAACGACCCGACTGTACTTTGTGCTTCCTGTATGTCTCTCTCGCTCTCTTCTTCCCTTCTCTTGCATGCCGGACAAGTCGCCTGGCGGCTGCCCCGAGTAGCCACACGCTGGAGCGGACTGACTCTGCCTCGCCACCGGCGACCTTTCTGTTTTTAAGACTCGCGCTCTCTCTCTCTCTCTCTCTCGCTCGCTCGCTCTCGCTCGCTCGCTCTCTCTCCCTCCTCCTCCCTTCTCCGCCCTTACAGTTAGCGAATACGACTACAGTCGGACCGAGGTGTAAGTTCGAGGTCGGTTCGGGGTGGGCCCCCCAGGCGGCGCCTCCGGCGCCGCCCCTGGCGCGCCCCGCGCGCCAGGGAGGGGGGTCCAACGCGTATCCAAAAAATCAGCGCGGAGCGCCTTTCTGCTTATGCCGTTTTTTCTTTTTATACAGTCGGACGGGGGCAAAACCGTTCCAGAGCGCTCCGGAATGTTCTGAGAGCGTTCCAGAGCGCTTTGAGAAGGCCGCGGTGCCCGAGACGTCCTCCAGAGCCGCTGGCCGCTGGATCCCAGAGACTCGGGTTGTCCTCGCCCGAATTGATCCTCGTCCTGGCTGCGTCTGAGAAGGGGGGCCCGAAGGATGCCGAGCAGTCCGCGGCGCGGAGCATGCTGGACGCGCTCTGCGGCGCCGCCGCGCCCCGGGACCCGCAGGCGCTGGCCTGCTGAAAATCTGGGACGTGAGGAGGAGGAGGAGGAGGAGGAGGAGGAGGAGGAAAAGGAGGAGGAGGGAGGACGATCATCAGGATGAAGTGGGGGTAGTCAGGATTGAAGAAGGAAGGAGGAAGCAGGAGGAGGGAGAGAGAACGAGGAAGATATATGAGATATGAGGGACGGGAGCGCAGGAGAAGGAGAAGGAGGAGGAGGAGGAGGATGAAGAGGAGGAGGAGGAGGAGGAGGAGGAGGAGGAGGAGGAGGAGGAGGAGGAGGAGGAGGGGGGAGCGAGGAGGCGGAGGAGGAGGAGGAGGAGGAGGAGGAGGGGGGAGCGAGAAGGCGGAGGAGGATGAGGAGGAGGAGGAGGAGGAGAAGGGAGGAGGTGGCAGGAAGGATAAGGAGGACGAAGGATGAGGAAGGAAATGGAGGAGGGATGAGAAGGAAGGAGAATGAGAAGGACGGGGGAAGGAAGGAAGGTTGAGGGACGGAGAGTCAAGGAGGAGCGAGGCAGCGCGCATCTGATAGATCCCTGTCGAGCAGCTGGGGTTCACGTCTCCAGTCCTCCCTGCCTGGAGGGCTGGCTGGCCTCTGGTACAGGGGCAGGGCCTCGCTCTCAGAGGAATGTGGCACCAGAACCACGGCGCCCCAGGCTGTAATCAGGCCGTTCACTACGGAGGAGGAGAGAGGAGGACGGGAAGGACGCAGGAGGGGCAGGGGGGGGGGGGAATGGAGGAGCGTGAAGGAGCATGTAGGAGGAGGATGATGAAGAAGGGGGAAGGGAGGAGAAGTAGGGTATGGAGGATGAAGGAGGGAGGAGGATGAAAGGAGGGAGGATAGAGGAGGGGAGGGAAGGGGGCGCCTGCTACAGGCACGTGCGGCAGGGACAGGGACCAAGCCGAGTCGGATGAGCCTCGCACAACGTCCGAGTGTTTTTCTGCGTATGCGTGTGCGTGTTCTCGTGCGCCCCACAGCGGCCGCTCGCGCCGCCCCCCCTCGCCTTGCCGCGACCGTCGTCGGCCTCGGGAGCGGATGCTGGTGGCGTCCCACCGATATTTCTCGCATTCTCGCACGCAGTTTCAACTTTACCCACCACGTGCTTGCCCGACAATGCTGCGCAGTATTCCCACGTGCCCCGTCCATGACCGTGGCTGCAACATCAACCGCCACGTGCCCGTCTCGCAGTGCCAGATGCTGCCACTGCACTCCTCGCGGCAGCTTACACTCGCAGTGCCAGTTGCTGCCACTGCACGCGTTCTCACACGAGCTGCCCCAAGTCTCACACGAGCTGCCCCCAGCGTTGTAGCTGATCACATGCCGCTGCTGTACATCTCTTCTCGCAGTGCCTGCCTCGGTTGTTACCGCCTGCAATGTCGCACGCACTGATCCCAGCGCTGTAGCTGATGACGTGCTGCTCCTGCTCTGCCATGGTGCGCCGGCCACTGCTGATGCCGCCGCTACTGCGCACCTTCTCGCACAAACCGCCCCTAGCGCTGTAACTGATCGCGTGCCGCGTTTGTACTTTCGTTACCTTCTCGCACGAGCTGCCCCAAGCATTGTAGCCAAGGACGTGCTGCTCCTGATCTGCCGTGCCGCGCGGGCTTCCGTTGTTGCCGCCGCCACCGTGCGCCCTCTCGCACGAGCCGGCCTCAGCATTGCAGCTGATCGTGTGCTGCCCCTGCGTTCTCGTGTGAGCTGCCTCCAGCGTTGTGGCTGATAACGCGCTGCTCCTGCTGCCGCCACTGCACTCCTCGTCGCAGTGGCACAAGCTGCCCCTCGCGTTGTAGCTGATCACATGCCGCTCCTGCAATCGCTGCCTCATCGCACGAGCTCTAAGTCGGGCCTGTCATTCTACAGGGGGAATATTCAACATTTGTCAAAAAATAGTGTGGTGCCGATGTTTTGATAATCTTTTACCATTTGGGAGTACTTTTGACATTTTTTTAACTTGTCCAAAATCCGCTTGTAGGGGGACACGCCCAACTTAACACGAGCTGCCCCCAGCAGTGCAGCCGGTGACGTGCCGCCCCATGTCCTGCCGCGGTGCGCTGGCCACTGGAGCCGCTGAACCTGCACGCGCCACCTCCGGCGTCGTGGCTGGTGGCGCGCTGCTCCTACCAATGCCAGCCTCAATTGCTCGGGGCTGGACATAACCCCCACTCTGACACGTCGATTAGTGAATTGTCCGTTTTCGGTTCCCGAGAGGGCGCCGCGACCGTCATTGTCCAGGCTGGCGCCCGCCAGGTTTGGGCCCGAGGTCGTTTTCACTAAGCCACGTTTTACTAAAGGGGGTTCTGTCCATCCCCGAATCGACAATGCTTGCCTGGCAGCACGATGTGCTTCCATTGCCTGCTCTTTGCCTCTGCGGCCGAGCAGGCTGCCGCTGCCTGCCTCAACGCTCGAGCTGATCCCAGCGGGGGAGCTGATGATGTACGGCTCAGGCGCCAGCTCATTCTGGCGGAGCATGTTGCTGCTGCTGTCCTCCTTCACCGCTGGTTGCTTACCCCCCATCCTGCCCAGGATGTCCCAGGGCCTGAGTTGTATGCGTTTCTGTACTACCTTAGGCACGTCGGTCCGTCCGCCGAGGGATATGCATGTGTCACATATTGCCAGCGGGTGTATGCGCTGCGTCCAGGGCCTGGGGGTGGCTTCTCGGGGCCCGTGGGCGACTCATGGTAGCTCCCTCGTGGTCACGCCCTCGATGCATAGCATGTGCCTTGCAACCTGTGGGACGCACTTTACAGGGCTGCTGGCGACATCGGGGTCGACCGCATACGCGTCCTCAAAGTCAACGCGCGCACATTCCCTGACAGTACTGGTCCCCATTGGCTTGGAAATAAACTTGCGGACGCTCGGGCGCAAAAAGGAGCGGCGATACACGAGTTTGATGATCTCCTCCCCGTCTGGTTGGCCAGATCTGAGATTCTAGTCACGTCTGTATGCAAATATCTTGGTTATGTGACGGCTTGGGTCTTTTTACGACATACACAAGTCCCAGTGGAAGATGTAATCTTTTCAACCTCGTTCCATTGCCCCCACTCTCTCTTTGACCGGCGCTGGGCTGATATGGCACCAGACTTTTGCGGACTCCGAGGCTGGGCGGTACAGGTGCTCAGCTGGCTGGAGCAGCGCCTTAGATAGTTTTTCCCTCGCCTCCACTCCATGCCCTACTCCCCAGCGGAATGGTCATCGAATGAGGCGCCTTGGACGTAATAGATGTGGTTCTATTCCAACCGCCACGTTTTGAAGCTGCGTGAAAGGTGTCCGTCTCATCCACAATCCCCTTCACCTGACAGGCTCCGGAGGATGCGTGACGGTCGACACCCTCGGGAAGGGACACCTTTAGGCGATGTTGTTCTTGTGGAGCGCGCGTCGCTTGAATATGCTCTCCTCGATGTACATGATATTTTCTCTCCTGACTCCTCTTGCCAACCTCTGCTGCGAGGCACGTAGTGGGTGGGGGTCTGATGATGATAATAGGAAGGTTGACTTGATTTCATGGCGAACCTTTACTATCATTGTTGTTGGTGCCATCGCCTGGTGGCGTCTTGCCTGCTTGGCCATGTGGCCGGAGGTTGTTTGGGCAACTTGTTTCTGTTTCACCTTCGCTATTATTTGCGTCCTAAGGGCGTCTGCGGATGATCCTAGGCGAAGTCCAAAGTCCATGTAGGTGTTGTACGTGTTTTGCACATTCGGCCATTGATGTTGAGGAGACTCGCCCGATGTTGCACTTCTGGTCTGCCAAGTTGAGGAAGTCTCGAGCGGCAGCCCCATATTGAAAACGAGCCGCCCTCCATCCGTGCAGCTGTTGCACTCGTTTAAGGTGGTGTTTTTTTTATTTTGAAGATGCCTCAAACATGAGCATCTTATACAGGACAGCATGTTACGACGATCGCCCGCGGCGCTAAGGTGGCTGCCCCGCTTTGAAAACAAACCTGCCTCCATCCTTGTGACTGCTGTAAATTTCAATCCGTCTCAGGCGAATCGCCCAGGTCGTCTTACCCGCACGTCTGGTGGTGCGACGGTGAAGGATGAAGGAGGAAGAGTCCAGGAGCCAAGAGGATGGAGCCAGGAGGAGGAAGAGGACGAGGGAGGGGGAGGGAGGCGAGAGAACGGAGCAGCAGGAGGTGGGATGAGGACGGAGGACGAGGACGGAGGAGGGCAAGAGAGGGGCCCCCAGGGGGGAGGGAGAGACGGCACCGCACACCCCCCCCTACCCGAGCCACCCCTCGGCGTGGCCCCCTGCAGCTTACCACAGGCGGGGGCCCTGGCGGGCCCGGCCTCGCTGCCGAGCGCCGGCGCTGCGGACGCTGCCGCGCCCGACGAGGCCCAGCTGCCGGGCATGGTCCTCCTCCTCCTCCTCCTCCTCCTCCTCCTCCTCCCCTCCTCCTCCTCCTCCTCCTCCTCCTCCTCCTCCTCCTCCTCCAAGGGCGTGATCTCCGAAGTCCCCGTGCCCGGGCACTCTGCGGAGGCTCTGCCGTCGGCGGCGCAGGCCGGCGAGCCTGCCGCTGGCCACGGCGCCGCGGGTTGGCCGGCAGCAGAAACGGGGGGGGGGGGGCGCGGTGATCCGTCAGGGGCTCCTCTCTCTCAGGAGCGAAAGAGGGACGTACATGTACATGAATCCACGCTGGTTTCGAGAGTACGCATTGCGCAAATGTTCGTATGACGCGGCCGGTCTCGCGGATCCAGGGGCCGTTTTCATGTACATAGCTGGGCGCGTACGTCCTTTGTGGGCTCCCTATCTCTCGCGACTCCTCCGATCCGCTTCGGTGCGATTTCGATGGCTTCCGCTGCCGATTCGGTTCGACTTCGGACCCCGATCTGGATGCCGGTTTCTCGACGGTTCTCTTGTTACTATCATGCGGACGTCCTCCAATTCGACTCCTCCCGACTTGGCTGCCGATTCCCGCCGATCCGTTTCATTTCGATCGCCGATCCGACGTATCGATTCGATTATGGGGTCTCATGCCCGTCCAGGCCCCTGGGCAGCGGTCGTCTTGGCTCAATTCTGCAGCCCCAGTGTAGGCTTCAACACGTGTGGGGTTGTGAAAGCTCAGCTAGATTCGGCCGAGCCTACCACCCCGCCCCGCAAGTGGCACCAAGAATTTTCCCGAACCCTGACCCCGCATGCCCTGGCGGCGCAGACGAAGATGTGCAACGAATGCAACCTGTCGGCAGTGACTAACTAATAAGTGACAGATATAATGATCACAGATCAAATGATCATTAGACGGTTAATTGCAACACCTGATCTGCAATATTGACAGATATCACTCATATGAAAATGAGTTCATCCATGCCATCAGCACAGACAAACAAAGTACCAGATCAGCTAATCGACGACCGCTAGATGACATCGGCAGACGAAATGTACATGCGAAAGCTTAGATCTATGCAATTCGTAGCTCGCAGGCAGAAGCATTACTAAAACTGAAAATCAAATGGCAGATGCGCATTGCTTCACACGCTACAATAACATGAACGATCGAAACAAGTATGGAGGAGCATGCCGCAAACGCGGTCGGAAAGTGACAACCGAGCGTAGCATTGTGAATAACATGTTCCGTACCCAAACGGCAGGTGGAGTGCCAGATTGCACTATAGCAGAAAAGGTTTGCCAGCGTCTACCCCGGACAGTGAGTCTGTGCACTGTGCACTGTGCAAGCTCTGCGATGGAAGCGACGCGATGCGAGCTGCTTTGCGGAAGCTGTGTGGACCTGCATGGTACAGTCAGGAGGAGGAGGAGGAGGAGGAGGAGGAGGAGGAGGAGGAGGAGGACGGCGAAGGAGGACGAAGGAGGAGGAGGAGGAGGAGGAGGACGAGGAGGAGAAGGAGGAGGAGGAGGAGGACGAGGAGGAGGAGGAAGAGGAGGACGAAGGAGGAGGAGGAGGACGAAGGAGGAGGAGGGGGACGAAGGAGGAGCAGGAGCTATGTGGTGGACGCTGTGGTGCGAGAGCTGCCTGGTGCCGCCGGCGCGCGAGGTGCCCCGCGAGGCGCAGCACGGAGGGCCCCCCGGGGGCGGCCACCGGGCGAGAGAGAGCTCCGAGGGCCCACGCGCGGGCGCCGAGGGGCGCCCGCGCGCAGGGGCGCCTACGGGCGGCCACCGTGCGGGGGGCACGGGGGGGGCCCGCGGCAGCGCGCGGCTGCGCCCACGGGGGCGCCCATGGCAGCGCACGGCTGAGCACGAATAGTTGTTTGGTCCCAGCTTTAGACCAATATCAGGCCTCCAGACACTTGAGACTGGCGCTCCTGGTGATTCCTTTCGATTGCTGTGCCGAACAGCTCTGTAGCTCATTTGCCGCTCGAGTTAAGTTATGCCCAGGGGGCGCCCACGGGGGGCCAAGGGGCGGCAGCCGGGCGGCAGCCGGGAGGGGCCAGCCAGTCCTTTCTAGAATAGGGGAGTCACCAAAAGCACCGTTGGGCTCCGGCCCGTGCCTGCGCAAGGTGGGACGATATCTCGAGAGCGGGCGCCCCTCTCGCCTGCGAGTGGCTCTTGCGAGGCATATGGGAACAAAAGTGGCATAAACGTAAAAACTCGGAGGTCCGCGCGGATTTCTCGGATCGGCGCCGGGGCCCCCCCGGCGGCGCCTCCGGCGCCGCCCCTGGCGCGCTCCGCGCGCCAGGGAGGGGCGTCCAGCGCCGATCCGAGAAATCCGCGCGGACCTGCGTGTTTTTTATGTTTATGACACTTTTCGTTCCCCTATCGAAGTTGGTCGCAGGCCGAGAGATTGACACCAACACCAATTTCAGCAGTGTGCCTCCACCGGGGGAAGAAGATTCCGATCTCGGCGATGGTGGTAATATTCTGGCTTCCAGGGTGGCCGAACTATTACCACCAACACCGAAAATCTAGGATCACCTTCCCCCTGTGGAGGCAGCCCCCTGTCTTGGTGTTGGCGCCAATTTCCAGGCCTCCGAGTTGACCAGGAGCACTTTGAAGTGCAGGCGTTGCTCGTGGAGCACGGGGCGCCCACGGGGCGGCAGCCGGGCAGCAGCCAGGAGCCTGGTGTCGCCCGGACGTGTGCACCTTTTTTTCACCCGCCACCAATTACCAGCCTCGAGCGTATCCCTATCCCGAAGATCGACACGCCAAAAGGCGATGACAATCTTAGGGATGCGCCTTCAAAAAATAAGGGAATCCCTAATATTGGCATCGTGATGAGGAGGTGCCCAGCATAGGGATAGGGATATGTTCCAGGCTGGTGAACCAAGCCACCCCTAACCCAACCCGAAGGCTCAGATCTAGCCTCGATTTCCAGTGAGGGGGGGGGGGCGGGAAACATCGAACAAACACACGTGTAACCCTTACCCCCCCCCCAAACCCGAAATTCGGGTCTTCGGGTTGGGTTGGGGTGGTCTGGTAGGTAGTCATTTTTCTCGGCGGGGATCATTGAGGAGCATCCTGGATCATCCTGCGAAAAAACACGCACAAGACCGAACAAAAACACAGGGAATGGACGTCCGGGGAGAGGCCAGCCAGTTCTTTGGAAGTTGGCCAGGAGCACTTGAAGTGCAAGCGTTACTCGTTGAGCACACGGCAGGAGTCGTACCATCAATGGCCAGGCAAGGGAACTATGAGTAATATCCAACGGATGTCGCAGACATTCTACGAGCACGCACATACAAAACACGATAATGACAGGCACGCATCATGCTGCAGTTGCAGAGACACATCAGACACACAATGGTACACGACACGTGCACATCACGTGCATGCATTCGCCAGACGAAATTCGTACATGATGTTGGCATGGAACAGCTGTATGACATGGACAGACGACCAGGATACAAACCAGCAGACCAACGTAACGGGCGAACGTTGCAGATGCAATAATGTTGCAGGACACGTAGTGCCATAACAATGGGAGGCCGACATACGCGCGCACATATCAATAGCAATCTCACACGCGCGCACGTGCAATTACAAGGGGCGTTGAATACTTCTGCGGCGGAATAATGGGAGAAGGCATCGTTGAACACACGGTGGTGGTCAGGCGGAGTGCCTTGCATGACTTTCGACAAATTCTGGTTCGGAGGCCTCCCCGAAGCAAGACGACCTCTCCAGCTCGCAGGACGGGGAGATCCAGGGCCCAGAGGCGGGTTCGAGACCAGCGGGGACATGGGGCGAACCCCACGGGAAGGGGGACGATGACGATGAGGAGGTGGAGGAGGAGGAGGAGGAGGAGGAGGAGGAGGAACAGGGAGAGGAGGAGGAGGAGGAGGAGGAGGGAGGAGGAGGGAGGAGGAAGGGAGGGAGGAGAGGAGGAGGGAGCGCTCTCTGGCGGGCCGGCGAATTCCGCCGCGCCGGTGTGGGGGGGGGGGGGGGGGGGGGGCGGGGCGTTCCGCGCTCCCCCGCCCAGACCACCCCAGGCGCCCGAGGCCCTCCACCAGGCCCCCCGAGCCGACTTCACTCCTCCCTCCTCCTCCTCCTCCTCCTCCTCCCCTCCTCCTCCTCCTCCTCCTCCTCCTCCTCCTCCTCCTCCTCCTCGTCCTCCTCCTCCTCCTCCTCCTCCTCCTCCTCCTCCTCCTCCTCCTCCTCCTCCTCCTCCTCCTCCCCCACTCGGCTTCCTCCCCCTCCCGTCTTCGAGGCCCCCCCCCGCCGAGGCGACTCTGCCGTGCAGGCCTGGTGCCGCCGGCACGGCCTCCCGGAGGAGCTCGCGCGGCGGCTGCAGGACGAGGCCCGGTGCCTGGCCCCATTGGAACCGGGGCATTTCTCGGAGGCCTAGAGGTTGACACCAGCACCAATATCGGCGGGGTGCTTCCACCGAGGGAAGATGATCCCGATCTCGGCGATGGTGGTAAGATTCGGGATTTCTAGGTGGCCGAAAGATCACCACCACCACCAAAATCCAGGATCGTCTTCCTCCCGTGGAGGCAACCAATGGTCTTTGTGTGTGGGCTCCCATTTCCAAGCTTCCAAATGATCCGGAGGAGGAAAGTATATCGATACCGCTGCCCTTCCCTCGTTGTCACCTTTTCGGGCCTCCCGGGAGGCCTTCGTCGCCACGGCTGGAGTCGCCTCGAACATTTGGCCAGAACGCACCATCGGGAGAGGTCCAGGGAGTATAGCGGTTTCGGTTCTTTTTGGTTTCCCCCGGAAAAGGTACCGGTACCGCTACCGTTTGGCACCGGTACCGCTACCGTTTCTTCGTTGTCCTTTTGTTGGGGTCTCTCAGGAGGTCCTCGTCGCCACGGCTGGATTCGCTTCGAAGTTATGGTCAGAACGCACCCCGGGAGGTTTGGGGAGTAGCGGTATGGATACCTCTTTCATCGAGCGTGTTCCATTACTGGCAAAGTACCTATTCCCAGACGTCCGAACAAAAACACATAGTCCTCTGTGTAATGGATCGTAAATCTCCAGCGACGGATCCAAGCCGTTCGCGAGTAGTCTTTTTTCGAGTAGTGGAACGCGCTTGTCTATCATTGGTTTCCCGATTTCAATTCAAGTTGAACCGACATCTGTTCCCATCTCCATCCCCATCCAGACCCCCACCATCTCGGCACCCCGGTTGGGGAGATGCCCCTCGAGACCCAAAAAGAAAGCGGCCTGCACCTTCATCTGGGAGTGCAACTCGGCCAGTGGGACCCAGGCCACGCCATGTGTCGGCGTCACCCCAACATACTAATACTACGTGTGCGTCGTCCCCCCCCCCAGAGGCGACGCGCGCACCGAGAGATGTTATAGCACACGCGCCGTGGCGGGCGCTCTCTGGCTGCACCGCTCGGGTATCGATCTACTACCAGATGGGTATACTATGTGCTCGGGTCGGACGCGCGCCTCCACGGAGGACATGTGGTACACGTATGCCTCTGTTTATGATGTTCCAACCTATTTTAGCCTGGATCACCAGAAATGATTTCGGGCCCCTGAAGAAAGTGCCGAAACTCGCGGGTTTTCACGTGTCGGGCCCTGGGAGACACTGTTTCGACACTCTTTCGACACTCTTTCGACACTTTTCCGGGTGCTCGGAATTATTTCTGGGATGTGGTCCTTAAGTACGATGGGAGCACCATAAGCCTCTGTGCGTCCCCGCCCAGGCCACGCTTGGGGACGGGGGTCGGATCCGCGAGGCGCCGCGTTGCACACCAGGGCGAAGTCGGGCCGGTCCCTCTACAGGGGGAATGCTCAAGAATTGCCCAAAAATAGTATGGGGATGTTTTCTGTATTTGTTCAACCATGTTGGAGCATTTTTTTGATTATGTTTTATTTTTGGACGCCCGAAATGGGCACGGAAAGAATAGGTACAATGCCCAACAACAAATGTTGTCCCAAACCAACAGCGGCCGCTGTTGGGCAGGCGGCCCTCTGTCTCAGATGGACACAGGCCGCGGCGGCGTGGACAGCGAGTCCTGTTCAAGATGAACAGGAACTGCTGTTGGGCATTGTACCCATTCTTTCCGTACCCATGTCGGGCGTCCAAATATGTTTTTCGGCCAACATCCCCTTGTAGGGGGACAGGCCCGACCTGACGCCAGGGCCGCAGCCAGAGCCAGCGGGCGCGCCGTCCCCGCCGGGGGGGGGGGGGGGCGCGCCCTCGGGGGCGGGCGGGCGCCTATTAGGGCGGCCCCGCTGGGCCGCCCTAATAGGCGCACGCCCCGCGGGGCCGCGCACGTGCCGCCTGTCATGACTTGCAGTCCCCAGCCTCTTGGACACCCCCCTCGAGGGTTTTTTTGTTTACAGAAGACCTATCTGAATAGATCGGCTCTTAAACAAAAGGCTCTATTCAGACCGCCAAGCTCTATTCAGATAGGCGGATGTGAATCGATCGGCACCGCTCTAGATAGATAGGAAAAGTTTGAATCGATAAAAAAGATTATCATGGTCTTGGCCGCTCCCGAGGGGCGGGGGTCGGATCCGCGGAGCGCCGCGCTGCACACCAGGGTTAAGCCGCCGGAGCCAGCGGGCGCGCCCTCCCCGCCGGGGGGGGGGGGGGGGGGGGGGGGGCGCCCGCGCCCTCGGGGGGCGGGCGCGCGCGCCTAATAGGGCGGGGGGGGGGGGGCGGCGGAGGGGAGCCGCGGCGTGCCCGCGGGCGGAGGCCGGCGGGAGGAGCGGCAGAAGCGGGAGCTGCCTCGGTGCCTGCAGCGGTAGGAGCTGCAAGCATCGAGGATTATGTCGGGCTTGTGCCCCTACAGGGGGATGTTCGACGAAAAATGCAGAAATATCCCGGCAAAGCAACCTAACAGCGATGTGTATAAGCATATCTGGAAGCATTCCCCTTAAGATTCAGGTGAGACTCCAGTTGTAGAATTCTGCTGTTCTCGCAGTCGCAGGCGCATTCGCAATGACAGTCGCAGTGGCAACGGCCTTAGGATCCAATGGAATATCCTAAGGATTCCTAGGGATTCCTAAGGCATCCTTAGGCATCCTTAGGAATCCATAGGAATCCTTAGGAATCCTGATTCCTAGGGATTCATAGGGATTCCTAAGGATTCCTAGGGAGCCCTAAGGATTCCTAAGGATTCCTGAGGATGCTTAACTATGCCTACGGATTCCTAAGGATGCCTACGGATTCCTAAGGATTCCTGTGGATTCCTAACGATTCCTATGGATTCATACGGATGCCTCAGCCTGCCTCAGTTTCAGCCTCAGCCTCAGCCTGCCTCGGCCTCAGCCTCAGCGTCAGCCTCAGCCTGCCTCGGCCTCAGCCTCAGCCTGCCTCGGCCTCAGCCTCAGCCTGCCTCGGCCTCAGCCTGTGTCAGCCTCAGCCTCAGCCTGCCTCAGCCTCAGCCTGCCTCACCTCAGCCTCAGCCTCAGCCTCAGCCTGCCTCGGCTTGCCTCAGCCTCAGCCTCAGCTTGCATCGGCCTCAGTCTGCCTCGGCCTCAGCCTGCCTCAGCCTCCCCTCCTCCCCCCCTCCCCCTTCCCCCCCCATTCAGCCTCACCTAGTCTCAGCTTCGGCCTGCCTCGGCCTCATCCTCAGCCTCAGCCTCAGTCTCGGCCTCAGCCTGTCTCGGCCTGAGCCTGCCTCGGCCTCAGCCTCAGCCTGCCTCCTCAGCCTCAGCCTCAGCCTGTCTCAGCCTCAGCCTGCCTCACATCAGCCTCAGCCTCAGCCTGCCTCGGCTTGCCTCGGCCTCAGCCTCAGCCTGCCTCGGCCTCAGCCTGCCTCGGCCTCAGCCTGCCTCAGCCTCCCCCCCTCCCCCCCCTTCCCCCCCTTGCCTCAGCCTCAGCCTGCATCAGCCTCAGCCTCAGCCTGCCTCAGCCTCAGCCTGCCTCAGCCTCAGCCTCAGCCTGCCTCAGCCGCAGCTTGCCCCAGCCTCAGCCACAGCTTCAGCCTCAGCCTCAGCCTGCCTCAGCTTCAGCCTCAGCCTCAGCCTGCCTCGGCCTGCCTCAGCCTCAGCCTCAGCCTGCCTCGGCCTCAGCCTCAGCCTCAGCCTCAGCCTGCCTCAGCCTCAGCATCAGCCTCTCAGCCTCAGCCTGCATCAGCCTCAGCCTCAGCCTCAGCCGGCCTCAACCTCAATCTGAGCCTTCCTCAGCCTCAGCCTGCCTCAGCCTCAGCCTCAGCCTGCCTCGGCCTCAGCCTGCGTCAGCCTCAGCCTGAGCCAGCCTCAGCCTCAGCCTGCCTCAGCCACAGCCTCAGCCTGCCGCGGCTTGCCTCAGCCTCAGCCTCAGTCTGCCTCGGCCTCAGCCTGCCTCGGCCTCAGCCTGCCTCAGCTCGGGCATTCAAAATACGGCACAGGACTGGTGTTCTAGGAACACGAAGAACACGAAGTGGCCCACAGTTGGCTCCGGGCAGTATGGTACAGGAATGGTGTTCTGGGAACACGAAGAACTCGAAGTGGCCTACAGCTGGCGCCGGGCATTCAAAATGTGGCCTGGGCATGGTGTTCTGGGAAGACGAAGAACACGAAGTGGCCTACAGCTGGCTCCGGGCATTCAAAATGTGGCCTGGGAATGGTGTTCTGGGAATACGAAGAACACGAAGTGGCCTACAGCTGGTTCCGGGCATTCAAAATGTGGCCTGGGAATGGTGTTCTGGGGAGTCCCCAGATCCTCCCTGGCACCCGCCCAGACCCCCCTGGGGAGTCCCGGGGAGTCCCCGGATTCTCCCCGGCATCCGCCCAGACCCCCTTGGGGAGTCAAGATGCTTTCTCTTGAGCCCACTCGGAATCTATCACTCTTCGCTGTTAGGTAAAAATGCTTCCAAATATCCAAACTAGTCAACAAATATTCAAATTATCCCGGCAAAGCAACCTAACAGCGATGTGTATAAGCATATCTGGAAGCATTCCCCTTAAGATTCAGGTGAGAATCCAGCTGTCGAATTCTGCTGTTCTCGTAGTCGCAGTCGCATTCGCAATGACAGTCGCAGTGGCAACGGCCTCAGGATCCAATGGAATCCTAAGGATTCCTAGAGATTCTTAAGGCATCCTTAGGAATCCATAGGAAACCTTAGGAAACCTTAGGAATGCTTAGGAATCCTGATCCCCAGGAATTCCTAAGGATTCCGGGGGAATCCGAAGGATTCCGAAGGATTCGCCTGCCTCGGCCTCAGCCTCAGCCTGCCTCAGCCTCAGCCTGCCTCAGCCTCAGCCTCAGCCTGTCTCAGCCTCAGCCTGCCTAAGCATCAGCCTCAGCCTCAGCCTCAGCCTCAGCCTCAGCCTGCCTCGGCTTGCCTCGGCCTCAGCCTCAGCCTGCCTCGGCCTCAGCCTCAGCCTTAGCCTGCCTCAGCCTCAGCCTCAGCCTGCCTCGGCTTGCCTCAGCCTCAGCCTGCCTCGGCCTCAGCCTCAGCTTCAGCCTGCCTCAGCTTCAGCATCAGCCTCTCAGCCTCAGCCTGCATCAGCCTCAGCCTCAGCCTCAGCCTGCCTCAGCCTCAACCTCAGCCTGCCTCAGCCTCAGCCTGCATCAGCCTCAGCATCAGCCTGCCTCAGCCGCAGCTTGCCTCAGCCTCAAGCACTGCCTCAGCCCCCGCCTGCCTCAGCTTCAGCCTCAGCCTCAGCCTGCCTCGGCTTGCCTCAGCCTCAGCCTCAGCCTGCCTCGGCCTCAGCCTCAGCCTCAGCCTGCCTCGGCCTCAGCCTCAGCCTCTCAGCCTCAGCCTGCGTCAGCCTCAGCCTCAGCCTCAGCCTGCCTCAGCCTCAGCCTCAGCCTGCCTCAGCCTCAGCCTTCCTCAGCCTCCTGAGCCTGCCTCGGCCTCAGCCTCAGCTTGCCTCAGCCTCAGCCTGCCTCAGCCTCAGCCTCGGCCTGTCTCAGCCTCAGCCTGCCTCAGCCTCAGCCTGCATCAGCCTCAGCCTCAGCCTGCCTCGGCTTGCCTCGGCCTCAGCCTCAGCCTCAGCCTGCCTCGGCCTCAGCCTCAGCCTCAGCCTGCCTGAGCCTCAGCCTCAGCCTCAGCTTGCCTCAGCCTCAGCCTGCATCAGCCTCAGCCTCAGCCTGCCTCAGCCGCAGCTTGCCTCAGCCTCAGCCGTTGCCTCAGCCTCAGCATCCGCCTGCCTCAGCCTCAGCCTCAGCCTCAGCTTGCCTCAGCCAGCCTCAGCCTCAGCCTCAGCCTGCATCAGCCTCAGCCTCAGCCTCAGCCTGCCTCAGCCTCAGCGTCAGCCTCTCAGCCTCAGCCTGCATCAGCCTCAGCCTCAGCCTCAGCCTGCCTCAGCCTCAGTCTCAGCCTGCCTCAGCGTCAGCCTCAGCCTGCCTCGGCCTCAGCCTGCGTCAGCGTCAGCCTCAGCCTGCATCAGCCTCAGCCTGCCTCAGCCTCAGCCTTAGCCTGCCTCGGCGTGCGCCAGCCTCAGCCTCAGCCTGCCTCGGCCTCAGCCTGGCTCGGCCCCATCTTGCCTCAGCTCGCGCATTCAAAATATGGCGCAGGACTAGTGTCCTGGGAACACGAAGAACACGAAGTGGCCTACAGTTTGCTCCGGGCATTCAAAATGTGGCCTGGGAGTGGTGTTCTGGGAAGACGTAGAACACGAAGTGGCCTACAGTTGGCTCCGGGCATTCAAAATGTGTCCTGGGAATTGTGTTCTGGGAACACGAAAAAAACACGAAGTGGCCTACAGTTGGCTCCGGGCATTCAAAATGTGGCCTGGGAATTGTGTTCTGGGAACACGGAAAAAAACACGAAGTGGCCTACAGTTGGCTCCGGGCATTCAAAATGTGGCCTGGGAGTTGTGTTCTGGGAACACGAAGAAAACACGAAGTGGCCTACAGTTGGCTCCGGGCATTCAAAATGTGGCCTGGGAATGGTGTTCTGGGAATGGATTCCTAAGGATTCCTAAGAATGCCTAAGGATTCCTAAGGATTCCTGGGGCTGCCGGATCTGTCCAGTTTTGTCCGGATCCCGCCCAAACCCTTTTGGGGCGTCAAGATGTTTTCTTTTGATCCCATTAGAAACCTATCAGCAAAGGCTGTTAGGTGAAAATCGTCCCCAGGATATGTTTTATTTGTTTGGCCTATTTTCGGGGTATTGTTTATTTGTCGTCGAAAATACCCCTCTAGGGGGACAGGCCCGATGTAAATCGAGGAAGAAATGACACCCCGAGGATCAAGCAGTGGCGAAGCGTCTTGGCTCGCCTATAGCCCCGCGACGAAATGTTCTAAGAACCTGTTGCGTTTTCCCCGAAATATTCTTAGAACAGTTCTGGCGGAGTCTGTCTTGTTTTATAGCATTGGGCTTATGTTCTAAGAACATTGTTTTTGCTCTTGGAGCAGCGGAAGGAGCTTCATGTTCTAAGAACATTGTTAAGCTTCCTCGATGCTTGCAGTGGAAGGAGCTGCAAGCATCGGGGAAGAAATGACACCCCAGATCGACTGCACGTAGGAGTGACCCTTCGCCGGAGTGACCTTTGGTGCGGGCCCATTGGGTCCCCCGATCGCCGAACGCGAGGCGGCAGCGGCGTCTTGCGCGCTTGTGTTTGGCCCCCCCCGCGGCCCCCAAAGAGCCGCGCACCAAAGGTCACTCGTACCCAGGGTCACTCCTGCGTGTAGCCGACCAGAGAAAAGCCCCAATCAGTGGATGGTTGGATGAGATCGATGGTGAGATCGATGGGGTGAGATGAACAGTGAGATCGATCATGTGATCGATCATGAATCGTGGAATCGAGAAAGAGATCGATGAGGAGATCGACCGGGAACCCGGGAACCCGGAAACCCAGCCGGCCACCAACATCTGCGGAAAATGTTCGCCTAATTTTTCGATATCCGCTAGGACCCCTTCGGTGCAAGCCCTGATTGGGGAAAAACGACATGAGCATAATGGAGGAGGGGGTTATGGGTGCATGTTGTCAGATGGGGGTCACCGCTCGCACGGGAGCCCCCCTCGTGGCGCGAGAAGATTCACCCTTTCTAATATAGCGCGCTCAGCGCCTTGCCCTTCTCCATATTCCCCCTCCCTATAGGTTTGAGTGTGTGTTGCTCGTTGAGCACCTGGGGAGGCAGGAGAGAGTCTCGAAGTAGAACAAATTGCATAAAGAAGAACTTGTGGTGCTCCGCGCGGATTTCTTGGATCCGCGCTGGGCCCCCTAGCGGCGCCTCTGGCGCCGGCCCTGGCGCGCTCCGCGAGCCAGGGAGGGGGGTCCAGCGCAGTTCCAAGAAATCCGCGCGGAGCGCCAAAAGGTTTCTGTTAATGCCGTTGTGTCTTCTTCTATAAAGTAAACATGCGGCTTCAGCATTCGACTACACGTAAGAGTGACCCTTCGCCGGAGCGACCTTTGGTGCGCGCCCACTTGGGGCCCTCTGATTGCCGAACGCGATGCGGTAGTAGCGTCTTGCGGGCTCGTGTTTGGCCCCCCGGCGGCCCCCCAAAAGCCGCGCACCACATGTCACTCTTACCCAGGGTCACTCTGGCGCGTAGCCGGAACATTTTCGGATTCGGGGTTTCTGGAATGGCCCAGGTGGGGGAGACGGAGGAGAAGGAGGATGTTTCGGCCCGCGGTTGCAGCTCCCTGCCTGTGGTACCAAAAAGTTTTCGTTCATCAGAGTTCCTCTGGCTGAGCCCATCATGGCCCCGCAACCAGGACCTTGCAAGCCAGAGCTCTGCCAGACCTGGGTGGAGAAGACGAGGGAGATCAGAGGATGGCAGCTGCAGCTTGTCTATAGTGCGCCAAAGTCCTTTGTAACCAATCGGGCGTGCGCAAGGGGGCGGGGGGGTGCCAGGGGGGGGGATTGTCCCAAGTTGGGGCTAGGGAGCGTCACCGGCTGGGTGCTCACACTCCTTTCTTCCACTGGCCGTCTAGAGCGATTCTCTTCCGACCCCACCTCCGCTCCGACCCGACACGCGCACCCGAGTCAAAGTTGCTGCGCACGTGGCCCTGGAAAGGAGGTGGACGAGCCGAGGCAGCTCACCGACCTGTCCGCAGCCGACCTCGACGGCCTCTGCGCGGGGCTGAAGCTGGGGTACAAGGCGAGGCTCATAGGCGCAGTGAGGGATCTCAGCGCCGAGCTTCAGAGGCGCGGCAAAACGAGTCTCCTCCTCCTCGTCCTCTGCTCCTCCTACTCGTCCTCCTCCGTCTCCATCTTTGCTCCCTGGCTCCATGCCTTGCCTCCTCCGCCTCCGTGGCAAACTGAGTCTCCTCCTCATCGTCCTCTGCTCCTCCTACTCTTCCTCCTCCGTCTGCTCCTGCTTTGCTCCCTGGCTCCACGCCTTGCCTCCTCCCCTCCTCCTCCTCCTCCTATTCTTGTCGCTCTTCCTCTTCTCCCTCCTCCCTCCTCCCTTCTCCTCATCTGTTGCCAAGGTGACGGGAGCCAGGGTTCGGGGGGATCACGAGGCCGCTCCCCAGAGTGTGCGTGCGCCGGTCGTTCGTGCCCCGCCCGATGTTCTGCAGCGCTGCGCGCCGCTGCCGCCCAGGAGTCTGTGGTGCCCTGCTTCTCGGCGCGCTCGCTGCGATGGCTGTCGCCTACAGCGGGTTGCTCCCATACCACTGGGCAAACACTCTGATTACCAGCCTCGAACTTATCCCTATCCCTAAGATTGACACGCCAAAAGGCGATGACAATCTTAGGGATGCGCCCTCAAAAAAATAAGGGAATCCGTAAGATTGGCATCGTGATGAGGAGATTCCCAGCATAGGGATAGGGATATGTTCCAGGCTGGTAATCTGACGTTGATCAGCGCAGCACATGTGCGGGCGGGAACTTTTGCATAACGCGTCGCGCCTTGGACCACCGCGGTTCGACGCGGCACGCCAACCACGTCGCGGTCCCCGAGCGTCAACGTGCTGAGCTTTTCCCAGCCTCTCGCCGCGCAGAGCCCCTCCCTCTCCCCATCCCGCCTCCTCCCCCTATCCGCCTCATCTCCTCCTCCACCTTCTCCTCCTTGATGCTCTTGTCCTCCTCCACCTACTCCTCGTCCTCCTCAACCAGGGCTCCTTCGCGTCTTATGCCCGCACTCGGTGGGCGAAAGAGGTGCGGATACCTGGCTGGCTCTTCTTGATTAGCATCACCACCACCACCATCATCATCATCATCATCATCATCATCATCATCATCATCATCATCATCATCATCATCATCATCATCATCAACATCAACATCAACATCAACATCAACATCAACATCATCACCACCACCATCATCACCACCACCATCATCATCATCATCATCATCATCATCATCCTCATCCTCATCCTCATCCTCATCCTCATCCTCCTCCACATCATCACCTCATGGTATCCGCCATCATCATCAGCATCACCATCATCATCTTCACCACCACCATCATCAGCAGCAGTAGCATCATTACCATCGTCATCACCACCATCAGCATCATCAGTCTTAGCATCGGCATCATCGACATCATCATCATCATCATCATCATCATCATCATCAGCATCATCATCATCATCAGCATCAGCATCATCATCATCATCATCATCATCACGACCGTCAGCGGTGTCATCACCGTTCTCATCAGCCTCATCATCACCATCATCTTCATCGCACTGAGTAGTATCACCATAATCTTCATAACCTTCTTCTTCATCATCACCAGCATCAGCATCAAACTCCGCAGCATTATCATCATCAACAACACAATCACCACCACCATCATCATAATCCTTGACAACAACATCATCATTACCACCATCACCATCGCCATCATCATCAACATCCCCGTCACTATCACCATAAGCAACATCCATTACCACCATCATTGCCATCACCATCCTCATCATCATGATCAGCACAATCATCATCATCATCAGCATCATCATCATCGTCGTGTCCAGCATCATCAATACGATCGTCATCACATCCATCATCATCGCCCATATCACCATCATTAGCATCAGTGTCATCATCAGCATCATTAGCAGCAGTAGCGTCATCCATATCAGTATCACCATCATCATCGCCATCGTCATCACAATCAGCAGCATCTTCACCGGCATCGTCATCGTCATGCTCGTCATCATCATTATCATTATCTTCATGATCCTCCTCCATCCCACGTGGCATGGGGGTCGCTTCGAGAAGCTCCAGGGCCCCCGTTCCTCGAGTCGGGCGTTAAAAAGAGGTAGCCTGGGGACGGTGTTCCTAGCATCTGTCTCTGCATGCTTGAATCTTTGTAGGGCATTGTCTTGCTCTTTCGCCCAAAATCCCCCTGTAGGGGGACATGCCCGACCTAGCGCCTCCGGGGGAGGAGGAGGAGGAGGAGGAGGAGGAGGAGGAGGAGGAGGAGGAGGAGGAGGAGGAGGAGGAGGAGAAGGGGGGAGGGAGGAGGAGGGAGCAGGAGGAGGAGGAGGAGGAAAAGGATAAGGATAAGGACCAGGAGGCGCTAGGTCGGGCATGTCCTTCCTCTCGTGCCTCCTCCAGAGCGCGCGGGCCTCGCCGGCCCACCCTCGACGTCCTCTGCCACAGCGCGGGCATCTCAGGGCAGGGCCTTCCTCGGGGGTGCCCGAAGGCGTCTGGAGGCCCCCATGGGGCCGAGGAGAGGGCCAAGGACGAAGAGCGAGGGAGGAGGCAGGAGGGAGGGAGGGAGGGAGGGAGGGAGGGGGGAGGGAGGGAGGGAGGAGGGAGGGAGGAGGGAGGGAGGAGGGAGGGAGGGAGGAGGGAGGGAGGGAGGGAGGGAGGAGGGAGGGAGGGAGGAGGGAGGGAGGGAGGAGGGAGGGAGGGTGGGAGGAGGGCCCAGGAGGCACCACAGTGGCCGTGTGGCCCAGCAGAGGCCCCTTATGCGGCTTGGGCCGCTGAGGCCACCACCTCAGTGTACTTCAGGAGCAACCGATCGCAGGCTTGAGGATGGATGCCTGAGCCGAGCACACAAACAGACATCAGAAACCAGATGAAGCAGACGAGGACAATGCCGCTCAGCAACTCGACCTACTTTCGGAGGTGCGCTTCTCCAGGGCTGCGGCGCAGGGCTCGAGGACAACCGCGCGTTTTGGGGCGCGTCCCTCAACAGGAGCTGGGGCTTGCTTTGAGTCGGGCATGTCCCTCTACAGGAGGATTCTTCAAACTTAGCAAAACATAGTCAGGGGGCGATGCCCCGACTATGTTTGATGGTTTTTGTTTTGAAATATGGTTTGACAATGCCGCACGTTTCTTCGAAAGCCCGCCTCCGCCTGCAGGAGGACATACCCGACCTAAGGCAAAACTTAGCAAAACAATCAGGGGTCGATGTCCCGACTATTTTTGACGCTTTGTTTTGGAATGTGGTTTGACCATGTTGCATTTGTCTTCGAAAGGCCGCCTGTAGGAGGCCATGCCCGACCTAAGGCCTGCTTTTCCGGGGCCTCCACCCATCCCGCGACCGACGGGCGCTGCGGCGACGTGGCGCAGCACCCGCGAAGGCACGGCCCGGCTCCGCGAAGGGGGCCCGCGCCGGGGGGGGGGGGGGGGGGCTGCGATTGGCAAGGGGCATGCTCTGAGCCAGAACGGGTGCAGCCTCTCCCTCTCTCCCACTCCCAGAACGGGCCAGTGCTGGAAGCCTCTCGCCGCACGGGATCGCCCGCCACGATGCCTCCCCCGAGGCCCTGTGTTGCGAAGAACCCCGCAGCTTCGTGAGGAGAGGCCCGATGACCTCAGGCAGGGAGCTGCCGCAGAGCGGCTCCACCTGCGAGGGGGGCCACCGCGGGGAGCCCTCCGGTCGCTGCGCGCTCCCCTTCCCCGCCACCACCCCAGGGGGGGGGGGGCTTTGCCGCAGGTGGGGAGGGGAGCGCAGCCAAAGCGCACTGTAAGGAGAAGCTGCTCTCCAAGGCTACCCTTGCCTGGAGGGCCGAGCCTGCCTGCTTCTAGAAGACCAGCATCTGGGGCCGATGCCCAATACCGCTCTCACGTCCTAGCCAACACCGTCTATGGACACACTGGGTGCCGTGACATCCATCGACGCTCTCAGGGTGGATAGGCTTATGGACAACGTGGCCGTTGCGGTCGGCGCGGTGCAAGATCGGAAAAATGGTAGATCCGTCTACGGTCTGCTCCTGTTCTATAGCAGGTCCTACATGGTACTTCAAACCATTGCATCCTCCCTTCGGTCCATCCTTGGCCACTTCCTGGAGACGGATGAGGAAAGAACCAGAAGGAGGCGGAGAGGGTAACCAGAAGGATGGAGGGTACCCCGCCCTTGGGGGGGTCTTTCGCTTTGCTTCTCTCTTTTTTGTTCCTTGCAGCTGCCGTCCCCGGGGGGATGGGGACGGCGGCGTCTGAACGACCCCAGCGCCATTAATTCTAAGCTCTAAGCTGGACGGGGCTAGGACGAGGACAAGTCCGTTCCGGAGCGTTCCGGAACACTGCCAGAGCACCCTGAAACGCTCGGAGAAGGTCGCGGCGCCCGAGACATCCTCCAGATCGTCCAGAGATCAGAGGTCCTCGATCTGTCTTCACCCGATGATGCAGTCAACCCGTGGAGTAGGGATGAGCAACTTGTCCTAGGTTACCCTTGCATCCTTGCCCCTTCGGTCCATCCATGGCAACTTTCGCTGGCCAGCCCCTCAGGGTACCCTTGGGGCGGGATGCAAGGGTGCCCTCTAAATACCTTTGCATCCCTCGGTGTTCGGCGGCGCTCCGCTCGAAAAACGTCAACATGGCTTTCCAGGGCCCTCGCATCCTTATCGTGCGTCCTTACTCCGCGGGCTGACTGTATCTTCGTCCTGGCTTCGTCAGACCAAAGGTGGCCAAAAGGTGCACTTGTACGCAAGTCGCGAAGGCGTGGCTGGTGAGGAGGAGTGGGAGGAGGAGGAGGAGGAGGAGGAGGAGGAGGAGGAGGAGGAGGAGCAGGAGGAGCAGGAGGAGCAGGAGGAACAGGAGGAGCTGGTTGATGGGGCGCGCAGCTCCGATCGCCGCGCTGGCGCCTCCTCCGCCCGGCCCGTGCCCGCGGCACACACCACACCCCCCGTGGAGCCGTCGCGGGCCGCAGGTGGGCGGCCGCGGTGCGCCCCGGGCCGCTGGAGGCGTGCAGCCTCCAGGCGCGAGGCGGAGGAGGAGGGAGAGCAGGAGGGAGGAGGGAGGAGGAGGAGGAAGGAGGAGGAGGAGGAAGGGGAGGAGGAGGAGGAAGGGGAGGAGGAGGAGGAAGGGGCGGAGGATTAGGAGCAGGAGGAGGAGGAGGAGGTGGAGGAGGAGGAAGGGGCGGAGGAGGAGGGAGAGGAGGAGGAGGAGGAGATGGAGGAGGAGAAGGAGAAGGATAGCATGTCAGATTATAGCGTTCCGACTTGGTGAACAGGTGCTTTGTTGTAGCGCATCATGTAGCAGTTACGCAGCAGCTCCAGACAGCAAGGTGCTCACACACTGTTGGCTCCCTCCAAAGTTTGGCTCAAGTTAGTTTCGCCTCCAGAGGAAAAAACTCCTGTCCTACTCATAGTAGCGGAGCCCATTGTTCGCCCCACGGATGTCGTTGCGCGTTTAGCTCCGCGAAGTAGTCGCCTCCTTGCGATGACCGCGGCGGTAGCCGCGACGGCCCCGCCGAACCCTGGCTCGGCTGACCCGGGCGATCGAGCGAAGGGGCGATCGAGCGAAGGAGCCAGCCCCCACCCCACCACCTCCTCCTCCTCCTCCTCCTCCTCCTTCTCCTCCTCCTCCTCCTCCTCATCATCATCATCATCATCATCATCATCATCATCATCATCCTTCTTTTATGCCTCCTCTTCCTACTCTTCCTCCTCCCCCTCCTACTCCTGCCCCCCTCCGCCGAATCCGCCGAATCCTGGGGTTTCGACGTGGCGTTGTCTTTGGTCCGAGAAGGCTGGTACAACCTGAGCGCGGACCGATTTGCGGAACTGCGCAATGCCAGGTTCGAGCACGGAGATTTCAGGCATAATAGCACGTCTTCCAAAGCCAATCACGATGGGATGAGGTTATTCGAGCACTGATGAACTACAACATGCGTGCGTTCTTGATGCAAGTAATCAACCGCAGCATATACTGTGAGGAGCAGCTCAATAACTTGAACAAACACGTCCGGACAAAATTTCAACGCCAAGCGAACGCACCAGAGCATGTTACCCAGATCGCCGAGGCAATACAGTCTGCTGCAAATACATGGGCCAGAGGAGGTTGAAGCAAGCCCGTGGTTCAACAGTTAGAAACTTTCTCAAATGACTCGACCAAATTCAGGCGATGAAATGGAAATGTGTTGAATGCTGGTGCTGTCGCTGCAGCGTTGGCCTCGTTTTCGGATCGTTGCGTTGCCCCCGTCGTTCTGAATGGTGCTCTCGCCCCAGGGTTGTCCACTTTTCTTCATCCTGGTCCTTCCTCATCGTTGTGGCTCCCATCATCTCCCCTCTTCCGCCTTCCCCTGGTCCTTCTGCTCCTCCCGCCCCATTCCACTTCAGTTCTTCCCGCTGCTGCTATGCGTCCTGGTCCTCTTCCTCCTGCTCCTCCTCGTTGTCCTCTTGTTCTCGTTTTTCCGATTGCGCAAGCACGATGGGGTCTTCGGGGGAATTCCAGGTCTGCTATGACATGAAAACGGATATACAAAACAGTGCAATGGAAAAGGATGGGTGGGAGGGGCAGGGTGTCAGATATGGCGCGAACGCCCCTTCTCCTCCTACGACCGCGGCGTACGGTCCAGGAGCTCTGCGAATGGGTGCCCGCGCTACCCACCAGTGCTTCGCACCGGCCACCCTGGAACAGCCGCTGCCCAGCACCGGGCCGCAGCGTCGAGTCACCAAGCACCGGCCGCCCACGGGGGGGAGGAGTAACGCACGCCAGGGCCTTTAGTCCACACACACACACACTTCACGGGAGCGCGCACGGTAGGTTCGTGCGGCGTTAGCGTGTTGGTGACGCTGGCGAAGGCGTTCAAGGTTGATTTTGCGACGCGGAAGCACCGATGGACAGCAACGCCACAGGACCCGACTGAATTCTTAACGCTCCGCGTAACCCCACCAGCCCATCCAGAAACGATGCCCAGACGAGTTGCCTTGATCAGGGGTGTGGAGGAGCATGTGGAACAAAGGGCTGGGCAGGAACATGTTCCTCAAGATCGGGAGAAAGGAGGAATCGGATGAGGATGAGGAGAAGGAGGATGAGGAATAAGAAGAAGAAGAAAAGGAACAGGATGATAAGGAACAGGAGGACGAGGAAGAGGAGGAGGAGGAGGAGGAGGAGGAGGAGGAGGAGGAGGAGGAGGAGATGGAGGAGGAGCAGAAGGAGGGCGATGGGGGAGGAAGGAGGAGGAAGGAGGAGGATAAAGTGGAAAACACCGACGAGGAGAAGGAGGCGGAGGAGGAGGAGCAGGGCAGGGAGGAGGAATTGGACGAGGAGGAGGATGAGGTGGGGAAAGGGAGAGGAGGCAGGAGGGAGGAGGAGGAGTACAGTCGGGGCGCTGAGGAAGGAACCCTTTTCTTTGGGGAGGGGCTCGGTGTTCCTTAGTTGTTTTGTAGTTCGCCTTTGGTTTTGCTTAGGGTTTCGATGGGAAATCGAAGTTTAACTTATGGGAAAAAGGGGCCTCGTTCCTTATTTAGGGTTCCTTAGGTCAACGCCCCGACTGTAAGCAGACGAGAGAGAGGAGAAGGAAGTCTGGCCGAGTCTCCTCGGATGTCGCTTGGAAGTTTTTGGGAAGCCTCTTGGGGCGTCTGGCGGGGCATCATGGCGGGCACAGGGCTGTCATTGAGCGTCTTGGGTGCCTCGGCGATCCTCTTGAGGCCCCTTGGGGGTGTCTTGGGAGTCTCTTGGAGTCCGTGGACTTGCTTCGCCCGGCTCGCGTCGCCCTGGCTCGCTTCGCCCGGGCGCGCGTCGCCCGGGCTCGCTTCGCTTGGGGCTCGTTTCGCACGGCTCGCTTCGCCCCGGGGCGTGCTTCGCCTGGGGCGTGTTGCGCCGGGCGGTGACAGCCGTGCGGTGACTTCGAGGAGGGAGATAAATGGAGGGAGGAGGGAGGACGAAGGGGGAGGAGGAGGAGGGAGGAGGAGGAGGAGGAGGAGGAGCAGGAGGAGGAGGAGAAGCGAGGAGGGGGGAGGAGGAAGAGGTTCCAACGGGTGGTACGTACGGCTGTCGTGGAGGAGCCCCAGGAGGGGGGGGAGGAGGAGGAAGAGGAGGAGGAGGGGGAAAGGCGAGGAGGAGGGAGTAGGAGGAGGAGAAGCGACCAGGAGGGAGAAGGAGGATAAGGAGGAGGAGCAGAGGGCAGCTCGATCGCGGCGGTCGCCACCGGCACGCGCCGTGGTCCTCCGCTGGGTCTTCGTCTCCGCCGCCGCCGCCGCCGCCGATTGAGCCTTCGCGAACTGATTGAATTGACCCGACCCGCCTGTTAGGGCTTCCGCGTGCCATCTCGATTACTGAATGTCCCGCCCGCCCGACAAAAGCTGTCCGTTAAGGTTTGCCCGCCCGACCCGACCCGACCCGCCCGTTAGGGCCCGCCCGCCCGACCCGATCCGACCCGCCCATTAGGGCTCTCGCGTGCCATCTCGATTACGCATCGCAGTTTTAACGTTCCGCCCGCCCCGCACGACCCGCCCGATTGGGTCTGCCCGCCCGACCCGACCCGACCCGCCCGTTAGGACTCTCGCGTGCCATCTCGATTATGCACCACACTTTAATGTCTCGCCCGCCCGACCCGACCCGCCCGATAGGGTTCGCGTGCCATCTCGCTTACGCATTCCAGTTTCATGTCCCGCCTGCCCGACCCGACCCGCACGTTAAGGTCCGACCGCCCGTCCCGACCCGAGCCGCCCGTTGGGGTCCGCCCGCCCGACCCACCCGACCAGCCCGTTAGGATTCTCGCATGCTCTTTCGTGTACGCGCCACACTTTGATATCCCGCCCCCCCGACCCGACCCGCCCGATAGGGTCCGCCCGCCCGACCCGGCCCGACCCGCCGTTGGGGTCCGCCCGCCCGACCCGACCTTAGGGTTCTCGCGTTCTCGTTCCCGCACGCACCACAGAATGCCCCGCCCGCCCGACCCGACCCGCCCGATATGGGCCGCCCGACCCGACCCGACCCGCCAGTTAGGGCCCCGCCCGACCCGACCCGACCCGCCCATTAGGGTTCTCGCGTACTCGCTCGTGTACGCGCCACACTTGTTTAATGCCCCGCCCGCCCGACCCGACCCGCCCGATAGGGCCCGCCCGCCCGATCCGACCCGCCCGTTAGAACCCGCCCGCTCGACCGACCCGACCCGCCCGTTAAGGGTCGCCCGCCCGACCCGACCCGCCCCGCCCGTTGGGGCTTACGCATGCCATCTCGATTATGCAACACATGTGAATGTTCCGCTCGCCCGAACGGGCCGCCCGCCGCCCGACCCGACCTGCCCGATAGGGTCCGCCCGCACGACCCGACCCGACCGCCGTTGGGGTCCGCCCGCCCGACCCGACCCGACCCGCCCGTTAGGGCTCTCGCATGCCATCTCGATTATGCAACACATTTGAATGTTCCGACCGACCCGACCCGCCCGATAGGGCCCGCCCGCCCGTTCCGACCCCACCCGCCGTTAGGGTCCGCCCGCCCGATCCGCCCCGACCCGCCCGTTGGGCCCGCCCGCCCGACCCGACCCGACCCGCCCGTTAGGGTTTGCCCGCCCGACCCGACCCGTCCCGACCCGCTCGTTCGGGTCAGGCTGCTATTCCGCTTCGCTCCATTCATCCTCCTCCTCAGCTTCCCCCTGCTCCTCCTCCTTCTGCTGTTCCTGCTCTGCCTCCTTCTGCTCCTCGGATACCGAACGCCAGCGCAGGGCTGGACGTAAACGGTGTTCTGGCGATTTAGTGGGCCGTGTTCGTTTCGACTCCGTTTTGCGGTAGAGGTGGATTGAAGACAAAGCGAGGGAAAACGAAAACAACACGTAAACGAAAAACACCGTTTAGGTTCCGCCTTGCGCCAGCGAAGCGAGACCCGGCGAAGCGAGGCCCCAGCGAAGCGAGCCCCGGCGAAGCAATCCCCTGCGAGGCGAGACTCCCGCGAAGCGAGCCCCGGCGAAGCGAGACGGGCGAAGCGAGCCGGGCGAAGCAAGCCCCGATTGGGGCTTGCTTCGCCCGGGGTCTCGGCGACGAAGCGAGCCCTGGCGAAGCGAGCCCCGGCCTGCTTGCTTCGTCGACGAAGCGAGCCCCGGCGAAGCGAGTCCCGGCGAAGCAAGCCCCGGCGAAGCGAGACCCCGGCGAAGCGAGCCCCGGCGTACCGAGATTCCAGCGAAGCGAGTCCGTGCCCTGTGGGCGTTTCGGAGCGCTCTCGGAGCGTTCTTGGGCGCTCTTGGGGCCGTCTTGGGGCTCTCCCTGGGCCCTCTTGGGGCCGTCTTGGGCCATTTGGGAGTCAGCTTGAGGCCTCCTCGGATGGCCGGCCAAACAAAAGCCAGTTAGCGTGGCGAAAGACCGAACCACATGCGGTTGTGAGTAACGCAATTGTGAACATCGTCTTCGGTGGAGCTTCCTATGGGGCCACGGAGCATGTGGGGGATGTACCGAAGTGGGCGCGGTCGGCACATTCGAATGCGTATGAGGGGTGTGCCGAGATGGGAATGGTAGCGCCATGCGAGCGCAGCCATTGGGGCCTTTTTGGTGGAATTCACTACATATGGGGCCACGAAGCTTGAGAGGGTGTGCCGAAATGGGCGCGGTGGTGCCATGCGAGCGCAGCCATTGGGGCATTCGGTGAAGCTCCATATGGGGCCACTCAGCGTGTGACTGGTGTGCCGAAATGAGCGCGGTGGCGCCATGCGAGCGCAGCCACTGGGGCCATCGGTGGAGCTCTTTATGGGGCCACGAAGCATGTGAGGGATGAGTCGACATGGGCGCGGTGGTACCATGCGAGTGCAGCCATTGGGGCCTCCGGTGGAGCTCCCTGTGGGGCCACGAAACGTGTGAGGGATCTGCCGAAATGAGCGCGGTGGTGCCATGCGAGCGCAGCAAATGGGGCCCCCTGTGGAGTTCCCTATGGAGCCACCAAACGTGTGAGGGGTGCGCCGACATGGGTAATTAAGGCATTTTGCCTGAGGCAGCCTCTGGGGCTGACTAATGCGAGCCCCTTCGGGGCGGTGCGTGAGTGCGTGAGTGAGCAGCGGCAACATCGACCTTTTGGGGTCTAATCCTGTGTGCATCGCTTGCTGCTCCGCAACCGCTTGTGTTCGCAGGGGCCCCATGAGCCGCCTTCTCGGCGCTACCCACATGTTCATTGTGAGCTCCAGAGGGGTCGCCATCGCAGATGTCCATAGATATCCAGGACCAGTTTAACAACAAGTTGTTCGTATCATCTCATATACTGTGAATGGGCTCTCTGGAGTATACTGACGTCTACAGATTGGCGGTCGGGAGCTAGACGCAGCCCGACGCTGCAAGAAAAACCGATCCACTGACCTCTTTGCTTTGTTATCGAGACAACATTGGCTGGCTCTATTTTCGAGACCCCGATCGGCTTGGACGGCTGCATCGGCGAACTCGCACCTCCTCCCCCACTTCAGGATCTGGGCTTGCAGCGTTCCTCCTCCTCCTCATCCTCCTCCTCCTCGCTTCCTCCTCCTCCTTCTCCTTCTCCTCCTCCTCCTCCTCCTCCTCCTCCTCCCCGTCCAGCTTCCCTCCTGCCTTTCTCCCTTCCTCTTCCCTCTCCTCCCCCCCAGGAGGCCCCCAGAGCCGACACGAGCTACGCCCTCGGCGGGTGCGGGTGCGCCGCGCCCTCCTCCTCGGAGCCCCCGCGGCCGAGCGGCGACGAGGACGGGCGGCTGCGCCCCTCCTCCTCCTCCTCCCTCCCCTCCTCCTCCTTCTCCTCCTCCTCATCCTCCTTCTCCTCCTCCTCCTCCTCCTCCTTTCTTCTCCTCTCCTCCTCCTCCTCCTCCTCCTCCTCCTCGCTCTCCTCCTCCTCTTCCTCATCCTTAACCGCGCCCTGCGCCCTGCGCCCACGTGCTGGTCTGAGCATGCAGCAGACACACACACACACACACACACACACACACACACACACACACACACACACACACACACACACACACACGATACGAAGGCCTGCTGCAGGAGATTGTTGGGATATGTTTCAGAGCTTCCTGAGAAGCCCCAGGGCTTCGGTGGGTCCCCCCAGGAGCCATCTGGCGTCCCTGCAGCACGGCATCTTTTCAGAGAGGGCATCGCTTGCGGCGCGCCTCGCCGGCGCAAAGTCGGCGGAGGCAAATGTGAGGGTGAAGGTGGGGCGCAGATCCGTCTACACCGAAGAGCTCAGGAGGGGAACAAAAACACAGACACAATGAATCGTCGATTCCCCGGGAAGTTTAGGATAGTATGGACACTGGGGGCGAAGACGAAAACCCCGAAAATATATAGAAAGTGCGGTTCCTGGAGTTAGTATCAGTTTATTTGTTTGTCCCTGCGCCCCTTCAAGAGTGACCTTTCGCCGGAGTGACCTCTGAGTGCGGGCGCACGGGGGCCCCCAGATGGCTGAACGCGATGCGATGGCAGCGGGACGTTCGCTCGGGTTTGGCCTTTCCGCGGCCCCCGCAAGTCGCGTACCAAAGGTCGCTTTGGCGTATGGTCACACTTACAGTCGGCCCGGATAAGTAGGTCGACACTGCCAGCTCAGCGGTACCCTTGTGTCCTGTGCCTCGCTACACGTGCCTTCTTGCACTCCAACGGCGATGTGGCTTTCGCACGGGTCTTGTGTCCTCTCGCGTGTCCTCTCCAATCAAGTCCGACTGTACGTGCAGCCGACGCACATGTGATGGTATGAGCACATCGCGCGGTCCTTGGATGGGCCTCGCCTTGGAGCCAGCAGGGTGGCTGAGGTGGCCCCGCCCGGGCTCGTCTTGGCCGTTGTGGTCATCGTCGTCCTTGCATTACGCAGACATTGCATGGAGATGCGCCGCGTCAAAGGTTCTCGTCGTCCTCTCGTCGTCCTCCGCCGTCGTCACCCACGTCGTCCTCCTCCTCCCCGCCCGCGCAGGAGGGCGAGGCCGCTGGGCAGGTCTTCCTCGTCCTCCTGCTCGTGCTCGCCGGGCTCGTCGTCGTGGTGTTTCTGTACAGGCGCCCCGCCCCGCCCCGCCTCTTGCTGCCCGTGCAGGCTGGCTCGGGCCTGGGCCCGGGCTCGGGTTCGGTCTCGGGCTGGCTCGGGCTCGGCTGGCGTCCTCCTCCTCCTCCTCCTTCTCGATCCCTCCTCCTCCTCCTCCCCCTCCTCCTCCTCCTCCTCCTCCTCCTCCTCCTCCTCGCTCCCTCCTCCTCCTCGCTCCCTCCCTCCTCCTCCTCCTCGCTCCCTCCTCTCCTCGCTCCCTCCTCATCCTCCTCCTCTCCTCGCTGCCTCCTCCTCGCTCCCTCCTCCTACTCCTCGCTCCCTCCTCCTCCTCCTCGCTACCTCCTCCTCCTCCTCCTCCTCCTCCTCGCTCCCTCCTCCCCTCCTCCTCCTCCTCCTCCTCCTCCTCCTCCTCCTCCTCTCCTCCTCCTCTCCTCCTCCTCCTCTCCTCCTCCTCTCTCCCTTCCTCCCTTCCTCCTCCCTCTCCTTCCTCCCTCCTCCCTCCCTCCTCCTCCTCCTCCTCCCTCCCTCCTCCCCTCGCTCCCTCCTCCTCCTCCTCCTCCTTCTCCTCCTCCTCCTCCTCCTCCTCCTCCTCCTCCTCCTCCTCCTCCTCCTCCTTCTGCCCTTGGCAGAGCGGCCCGGCCCCGCCGCCCGCGGCCCGGGGTTGGCGCCCTCAAGGCCTCTCTCTTGCCCAGGGTGGCTCTGGCGTGTAGCCGATCTCGGGACCCAGGAGGCCTCCCCGGACGGGTGATTTTGTGCTCAGGGCGCCCCTCACCCGCTGGCCTGTCCTTGAGTCGCCAGCCGGTGAGCATGTTTTTCCATCCGAAATTTGCCATGCGCTCCATGGCATCTGCATCCACTCGGGAGCCGCGCCCTCCTCCGTTCGGCCGGCTGCCAAGAGGACCTACGGAGGGGCGCCTAGAGAGGTCTCAAAGGGCCCAAGACGCTCCGAGGCAGCCCACGTGGCGTCCAGGAGGCCCTCAGGAGGCCGGCAAGAGGAACCCAACAGGCCCTCACGTGGTCTCCATGGCGGCCCCAAGTGCTTGATGCAGTGCATGACGGCGCGGAACACATGCAATGTCGCGCTAAATCGCGACGGGAGCCCTGGACCCCAACACTCTGCGACATTCCGCGAGCAGGATCGATCTGTGAGGGCCCTGGGGTCCGAAACTATGCAAAAACTCCCAGGGTGAGAAACATGCGACGCCAGGATCTCAAGGACGGAGCGCTTCAGAATTGTTCAGAAGGGCCCCAGGCGTCCGGACCTACCCCAAGAGATGCGCCGCTCCTCTTTTTGAAGCCGCCGCGTTTGAGCCTGGGTTGACGGGCCCCTTGGATTCTGCTCCATCGTTGCGCCGCGTGCGGATCCCAGTCGAGCCATTTGCCTTCAAAGCGACAATTTCCAGTTTTTTTGTTGGTGTGCTCCGTGCAGTTTCGCCTGGGCACCGATTTGGAGGGCATGTGACGTGAGGTGGGCTTCATCGATGGTTGCTCTTCACTACTTCTGGTCAGCTGGGAATAGAAAGAAGCTGGAAGAGGCGCACGAGTTGCCCCACGAGACGCCCCCGAGAGGCACGAATACAGGCCCCAGGCGACCAGCAGCCGTACCCTTCAGCAGCGTGTGCAGTAGCGCTTCGCGCAGGGCCCGAAATATCTCACGAGGGATCCCAGCCATGTGCCGCGTTGTAGACGGGGTCTTGGCTCCCAGGGATCGAAAGAGTTGACATAGATTTTCCTCAGCGGAAGGGCTGCGGAAGCTGGCGGAAGCAAAACGAGGGCGGCTCCGCTGGCGGAAGGTGGCGGAAGGAACAACTGTCCGCCGCAGAGATTGTAGTTGTTGGGTGTGCATGGCTTTTGGAGTGGGCCACGCGGGCGCAGTTCAGTAGCTCCCGCAATAGGGAGGCTGGCGGAGTGAGAGGAGTGAGTAGTGGGAGTTAGTCAGAGAAGTTAGTGGTGGGAGAGGCACATCCTCATTCATATTCGTAGCAGTATTGATGGCACGCATGCGTATTATATGCAACAAGTGGGCTCGGGCGTGGGCGTGGGCGTGGGCGCGGATTTTGGTGTGGGTGAGGGTGTGGATGTGGGTGTTGGTGTGGTTGTGGGTGAGGGTGTGGGTGTGGGTGTGGGGTGTGGGGAGTGAACGTGTGGGTGTGGGCGTGGATGTGGGTGTGGGTGTGGTCGTGGGTGTGGGTATGGGTGTGGGTGTGGGTGCGGGTGCGGGTTTAGGCGTAGGTGTGGGCTGGGTAGAGGGCGTGGGTGGGCGTGGGCGTGGGCGTGGGTGTGGGCGGTGTGGGCGTGGGCGTGGGCCTGGGCGTAGGTGTGGGATCCACGTGCACTCCTGGCTCGCAATCATGTGTCTGGTGCTCTTGCGTCATCGTTTAAGAGTCTGCGGCGGTGCGACGTAAATTCAGGTGCAGCGGGCTGATCAGCGCAGCGGCGAGTGGGCTTGATTCAGAGGGCCGGGTAGGTCCTTCCGACGTGCCGCAATCATGCGTGACATCTACCGCGATGACACGGCGGAGTTCCACGTATTCACCGACGACGAGTGTGTCGGATAGGAGCCGGACAGGGGCCTGTCCAGGCAAGGGGTTTCGCGGCGAGGATACGCGGCCAAGAATGTTTTCGAAGTCCAGGGATGGGGGCCAGCATTCTTGCAGACGAAAAGGCAGGTCCAGCCGTTGTTGTTTAGTTAGTCAGAAGCCATCCCAGCGCCAGGTACCCTCTTGGAGATCTTAATTTCCAGATCCAGGGGTGCTGAAGTATTTCGAGATTGGCTCAGCGGTAGTTATCCCCCCTAACCTCACTGCACGGATCCGGGTCGTTGGCACAGACTGCAGCTGAGCTCTCCCCGTTTGGTAATTGGGCCGCCTCCGGGGCCCAGGCCCGAAAATGACATTCCGCACGCACTCGAAGAAGAGCAAGCAATATAGATCGGGCGAAGAGAGCTATGCACATGCACCGATCCTGACAGCGTCCATCCTTGACCCAGGATCGGTGCATATGCCTTTCTGGCCAAAGCAGGAGGGCGTATGCACCGATCCTGGGCTCACAGAATCGGTGTATGTGCATAGCTATCTTTTTTCGAAAGCCCGCGCTGATGTCTTCGATTTGTGCTGGACCCCCCTCGGCGGCGCCTCTGGTGCCGCAACTGGCGCGCTCGGCTCGCCAGTGAGGGGGGGGCCCGCGCTGCTCTCGAGGGCCGCGCGGACCTTCGACAGCTCCCGCCGGTGCAGCTTAGTCCTCTCCTGCGTGTTCGGAGGCAACTCCTGGGAGGTCAACTTCTGACTTTGCCCGGGTCCGAAATCCATCAGGAGGGGAAAAAACACACAGACACAATTAATTGCGATCCCCAAGAAAATATGGGAAAATATGGGAAATGGGGGGGAAGACAGAAACCCAGAACATATATGAAAATATAGGGGAATATTTTTATCAGTGTGTATTTATTTGTGTGTCCTGGGGCCCCTTCAATCCAGCCTAATCCCGCTGAATCCCGCTTAATCCGTCTCATTTCCGCCTTAGTCCGGCTTAGTCCCGCTTGATGTGCGGCCGAGTTCGGCGTAGCAGCCCCCCTAACGTCGGGGGCGGCAAAGAGGGGGGTGATGACTAGGGGGGGTGGATATCATGGCGCGGGCCCGGGCCATGATATCTCCGCAGATCTCATGGCGCCTCTTCTTGTTTCATTACGTCCCTGGCCCCCCCGCTGGGCCGCGCACATGCCGCCGGTCATGATTTGCATCCACCCCTCTTGGACACCCCCCTCTTCTTGGCCGCTCCCGATAACGGGGTTTGATATGCCTCATCCTTCCGGCGAAGACCTCCCAGTAGTACCCACCTCTTGCGTGCCTGCGCACAGAACCATCCGCTGCTTGCCACCGCTTCGGGGAAGCCGGCCGGGGCCGCGGCCTGGAGCGCGCGCCGTGGGCCGTGCGGCACGCACGCGGGAGGAGAGGAGAGGTGGGGGAGGACGCTCAGGGGGGAGGAGGAGGGGGAGGAGGAGGGGTCGGAAAGGACCAGGAGGAGCAGGGGGAGGAGCAGGGGAAGGAGGAGGGGGTGGAGGAGGGGGAGGAGGGGGAGGAGGAGGATGAGGGGGAGGAAGAGGAGGAGGAGGAGGAGGAGGAGGAGGACGAGGAGGAGGACGACGAGGACGAGGAGGAGGACGAGGTCGACGAGGACGAGGAGAGGAAGGAGGGGGGGGTGGCTGGCGGTGGCGCCCTGCTCGAGCCATCGGGGCGCACTCGATTCGAGTGGGAAGAGAGTGTCCTGGCAGAAGATGGAGGAGGAGGTGGTGGACGACGGTGACGACGACGACGACGACGACGACGACGACGACGACGACGACGACTCAATCACAGTTCTTGGCGCAAATGGGATTCGACCATTGGCTCGCCGCTTGCTCCTTCGCTGGAGGGGGAGGGGGGAGACGTGAGACGAGAGGGAGGGGATGAAGGGAGGAGTTGAGCATGGCGCGGCGTTCGGGGCACACCTCGGTCCCAACTCCTCCAGAGGATGGGAGTGAGGTTCAACAGAGCGGCCGTTGCATTGGGGCTCTCGCTTTTTGTTCCGCAGTGGAATGATGAAGGCGAAGGATATGCTCTGGGAAATTGCCATCACACACAAAGCTACCCCTTCTGAGTGAGGGAGGGGGGAGGGAAGGCATGAGGAGGACATTGGTGCAGAAGGGAGTCGTGTATCCCAGGAAGGAGCCCGGTGGTGCAGCCCGTGCCGGGAACTACACGGACTCCTTCCCAGCAGGGGTACTTGCCTCGAGACGCGCAGACGTGCTGCCTCGCCGGAGTGCCCCTGTCTCGTTCTTCAGCCCACATTGTGTCGTCGTTGGTGGCAGCTGTATGGCCGTTGCCCATGCTCCACGCATGAGTTCGGACCCCCGGCTCACTGAAGACCGCCTCCGGCCCGAGGAGAGCTGCTCTGCCCCAGCGCCGCCGGCAGCTTTGGGCAGCGAGGGGTGCCCGGCGCAGGCCGCGTGGCCTGGAGACCGGAGACGCGAGAGGAGGACGCTGCGACGGGGTAGAAGGAGGAGGAGGAGGAGGAGGAGGAGCAACAGGCGAGAGAGGACCAAGAAGTTGAGGCGTTACAGTGCGGGCTACGGGCTCCGCTTCTCTGGCCCGCGGCAGAAGGCATTTTAAGCCTGGCTGCTCCGCTGGCGCTGCCGGCAGCTAGGGCAGAGCCGCGCTGTAAAAAGAATTCGGTGGCACAGAGAGCAGCCCCAGCCCCCCACGGGCTCCTTCTTCTCAGAGTTCACACCGCATCCGCTCACACGAACCGTGCGCACGTCTTCTGTGAGGGCCGTCGATGCTAGCTTTAAGTCGGGCATGTCCCTCTAGAGAAGTATTCAAAAATAGTACAACATTGTCCAGACCAAGGACCCAACCATAAGCAGTTGGCGATACCGCGCTCTGGGTCCACATTTCGACTGGCCTCCCTATGATGCCACGATCTCTATGAGGGGTCACTTTCTCTTCAAACGAGGATCCAACACCACAGGCATGTTTTTGCCGACACCCGAGTGTCATGGGAAATTTGAGAGCAGTATTCATATTGAAGAACTGCGGAGAGGGGTTGGAGGAGGAGGACGAGAAGGAGGAGAAGGAGAAGGAGGATGAGAAAAAGGAGGAGAAGGAGGCGGAGGAAGGACCAGCTGCGCAGCACCTTCGGAGTGCTGCGGCCCGAGAAGTCGCAGTGGCGGCGGGTGGCGGTGGTAAGACGCCGTTTGCGGACGAAGTCCGTGCGCCGCCAACCAGCGGCACCGCCATCGATCAAATTTTGGACCCCGCGGTGCCACTTTGCACAGGCTCGTGAGCTCGGGGGTCCGCCGGCACGCGCGTGGGCGCTGCCGGGAGTTCGACCAGCCACGATTGGGACAGCTGTGTTCTTTGCCCTCCCCCCGGGGGAGCGTGTCGCACTGGCATCCTCTTGAGGGGGCTGTCGAAGCCGACGGCCCCCCCAGAGAGGAGACGCACGCAGCTCCCCCAGCAGCGGCTCGTTCGATCATGCGGAGAACGAAAAAACCGAAATAAACATCAACTCTTGGATGTCCGTGCGAATCTCGTGGGTCGGCGCTCACCCACCCCAGCTCGCCAGTGGCGGCGACTACGTGTGCCTCGGGGGTGCGGGGATTGCGGGGGTGGAGGAGGAGGAGGAGGAGGAGGAGGAGGAGAAGGAGGAGGGGGAGGAGGAGGAGGGGGAGGATTTTTTTTGACATCCACTGCCTCAGACCCCAACTAAATGGGGCAAATGGTTTCGCAGTCAGCTCTGGCCCCTTTCCTCTTGTGGTCAGGATGGAGCCCCTTGCTCAGCCAGCCGCGAAAAAAACCTCGCTGCGGTCTGGAGGGTGGCCGACGCAAGTCTTGGACAAACGTCGCAGCTGGCCTCCAGTGCTGAAAGCGTGACAGGCGCGACACACACAGGCAAAACTGTGGTCATCGAAGTCAATCACAATGCAGCTGTGTCCGAGGGCTCGCAACTCGAAAGGATCGATTCGGAGCTGGCGGGTGCGCACTCCTGATGCGGGCTTCATCTGCTTGCGGGAACAACGCAAGCAGTTCGGACATTGCCAAAATCGGCCTACCCAGGCCCACTCGTGTGACGGGCTGGCTGGCTTGGAGACTCTCGGCGGGGCTTCCGCGCGAGGCACACCTTCGAGGTTGGTCTTGGGCCAGCGCTCGAGCAATGTTGCAGCTAATTTGAAGACGGCCTTTGCCGTGCGGATCGCGTGGTTGAGATTCACACGATCGTCAGCATTCAAATCTTCATGCAACCGCGCACCTGCTTTTGCCGCCTCGTCGGCAGCATTATTACCAATAATGTGTCGGCGCTCCAGTTCCGAAAGATCAGGGTCGTCCGCTCTGTGGGCCTTGACCTTCTGGACTGAGCGCAGCATGTGATTCGCATACGCGTAGCTCTGCATAACCAACCCGCTGTAGGGCCGATTGGGCGACAGGCACTCGACAAAAGGCTTGCTGTATTCACCAACGACGGCCGCACAATCGCTGAAAATGTCAGAAGCACAGGTGAGGAGGCTGGCGGCACTCGTTGGCGCTGCGAACTCCGCAGCAACAGACGTCCGAGGGAAAAAACTGCCCAGCGCGCCGTACATTTGAGCAAGGATCTTACCCGAAGGACCAAGAGACACAACTCCCCACCCCGAGCGGGAAAGATCCTTGATCGGCGACCGCAAACAGGAGCCGTCCGTGTAGAGGTCCCCTCCTAAAGCCCTCACCCCCTCGGAAGGAACTGGTAACCCCTCAGCCTGGCACGCTTCAGGGAAGACCTGGAACACGACGCTGTCCAGGGCTTGTTCCTGGGACAGGGGGCCTGGCGCCCAAAGGGACGGGTGCGGGAAAAGGCCCGTCTCGCAGACCAACTTGAAGCTCGGACTGGGATCGGCCGAGAGCTCCGCACGAATCTCGGCGAGAAGACGCCCACCAACAATCTCCACTCGATCTTCCTCGCATTCAGGACAGAACCAAAGCCTATGCAGAATCGTGTCTCCTACCTGGCCGCACAGATATCACTCGTCATCTACACAATAGCCGAGGGCGGCTGCACGGCTGAGCGGCCACACAGCCTGACAGATCAAGGCTTTGATGGCACCTTTTTCCTTACGGGAGAACTTGGAGGACGCCAGGGCCGCATCAGCCAAATCGAAACAGAGGCGGGTCCCGTCGAGGTACCTGTTTCCAGCCTCGATTTCTAAATCCCGTAAAACCGCGCTCTTTAAACATCTCTTCAAAAGGGCAGGGGAGGTGAGCAGGAGGGGAATCTGCACATCTCTGTCGTCCGTCATCGTGAAAGGGTCAGTCATGTCCCAGCCGAGCCGTTTCAGGGAGAGGTACATGGCCCCGACGGGGCCCTTGCAAGATCTCCAGGTTCGCGGGGGTCGGGCCCAGACTGCGGACCAGGCTTCACGAATTTCGTGCCAGCTGAGCGACCAGGGAGCCCTCGTCTGCAGCAGCCACAACTCCTTACAATACCGAATGATGGGTGCAACAGATCCGTACCAGGCTGGGTCTTTTTCGAGACGGGTGAGGATCGTGAGCGAGCGTCCCCCGCAGTTCGGCTTCATGGTGGAAGCAGCCAACTTACGGATCTTGTGCACTTCACCCTCGGACATGCCGTGGACCTCAGCCCCGTACTGAGCGCCTGCCAGCGGCCCAGAGACAAACACCTTAGTAGCGCGAGAGCCCAGCGTTCCACGCTGGCGGACTAAGCGGCGGGTCCTACGCACCGCAGCATTCATCCTGGTCTTCGCCTTAGCATTTCGCCCCCTAACCCTCCTGGAAGTCCCTGGAGTGAAATCGATGCCGAGGTTAACCGTGGTTTCCCTGTGGGGCCCAACGAGATCTCCAAAGACTTGGGAGAGCCTACCAGAAATGTACTTGGAAGACGAGACCATGGCTGTCTTGTCCAATGAAATCTGGGCACGCATCATAACAGTGATGGCGTGCTGCAGGGTGGTAGCTCCGTCCTGCAGGCTGGTGACTATCTGTTCGGCCGTGCCGACAGCGTTAAGGCCAGAATCGTCGATGTAGACATCAAGGGTAGTGTTCGGACCCAGGACCACAGAGTCGAAAGATTCAAGCCCAAAAACCCTGATCATCGTCGTAGCGATCGAGCAGCCCGCTATCACACCGTGATCTCCAAACACTGGGGGAGCCACGACCCCGCACAAAACCATAAAACGAGCCGATCGGTATCCAGCCAGACAGACCGCCATCAGCACAGGAGGAAAATTAAGCCTCTGGCCGCGCGACTCCAGCAGGGCCAAAGGAATCTGCTCGTAGTATTTCAGCATATCGTAAAAATAGCACCTGCATGCTGGCCTGAAGACGTGCTGCGCTCAGCCGAGACCGACTGGCGCCAAACCACGTCCGATGCCGACCTATGCTTCCCCGCGGCCCAGTAGGGCCTGTCGTTGGCTTCCTCCCAGGCCACAGCATAGGGCCTCCGAATGCGGCCCCAGATGCGAAAGGGGCTCGAAAAAAACCCGATGGGGCGGAACCCAGGGACCGACTTCGGGATCATGGCCATGATCAAGGCCCGAAGTTGTCGGGGAAGCATACCTGCCGACTCGACGATCACGAACATCCTCCCTAGGCACTCCAGGGACGCGTCGGAGAGAAACTGATAGTGCCGAAGGTGGAAGCCGTCCAAGCCGACAGCCGAGCGCCTCGAGTAGGACCGCGAGGCCGTGCGAAACTCGTCCACTGTGATCTGCGGCAGTGGCTCGAGCTTGCAACACCGAAGCCGAGGGGGGGCATCAACTGCCCGCCACAGCTTACCAAATCTGTCACTCTCTTGCTTCAAGAGGGCCTGAGGGTCGCTAACCAGGGCCCCAAACCGACTCAAGGTGGAGGTGGGCCTCCAGGCCGCGGGGCCCTTGGAAACCTGGTGGGCCCGACGGGCTCCCTGGTTGATCCCGTCCAGGAGCCAGGAGGCCCAATCGGACCTGGCGATTTTGGAAAATTCCTCGGAACAATTTTGTTGGCCTCTTGAAGCTGTGTATGAACCGCGTCCAGGCAGGCCTTACACTCGTCGGGGTCCGCGCCCCACAAGCAGGCCACAGAGGAAGCGGCGGTGTACGCAGCGGCGTAGCTACCTTGGTGTTCCGCCACAAAAGCAGGGGGCGAAGCCAGGGCAGCCTGCACCTTAGCGAAATCCGAGGGATGCTTGTCGGGGCCCGACAGCACCAGACGATAAAATATTAAGAAGTTGGACCAAAGCCATCTCATGCTGTGGAGCACAGGGTAACGGACCGAGCCGTGGTCGCGACCCAGGACGGGCCTCCACCACATCTCAACTCCTTTGCCCCGTGCCCCAAAGTATGGGATGGTCGTGCCCATCACATTACACAGTTCTCGCTCGGCCGTGTTGGCCCATTGCTTGTAGGCAGCAGCGAGAAGAGAGTCCAACACGTCAACATCCCCCCTCTGGGCCCTAACCAGGGCCTTGTCCAAAAGGGCCGAGCATTTACCGTAACACGGGGGCTCGGGCGAAGGACCGATCGGGGCATCCACAGCGATCGGGGGGGGGCTTGCGAAACGAGAGGACGTGAAGATTGGCAATTCCGACGTGGAATTGGATCCGAACGGGCAGGTGGGGGTGGAACGTGCTCCCATCAAAATTCTTAGAGACTGAGCTGACGGCCTTCGCGAGGCCGCCCGACAGAACGAAGAAGTCGTAGCACTTGGGATCGCCAGTGCCATAACACGTGGGCCCGTCCGCCGCCACCAACTGGCCCCTGAGTTTGTGAACGAACTCGCTCTCGTGGAGCGTGGGCGGCTCGAGATTGAAGTCGCCGCCCATCAGGAAGGACATCCCAGAGGTCGAAAAATGAGCACCGAGGGCCCCAAGGATGTCGAGGTTCGCTTCGCTGAGCCCTTCAGAGTCCCGAAGGTAAAG